ATATATATATATATATATGATTTTAAAATAGCATTTTTGTCATAATATTTTTAAGTATGTCTCTACAACAGCCTTTTTATATCAAAAATATTAGCTCTCTGCCACATATACTACAGATATTTTCCATAGCATGTCATTTATCTTTCAGACTTATCTATAGCTATTCTGTCTTCTGGAATTTGTATTTTATATATAGTTAGGAAAGACTGGAAGTGGTAAAGCAAATTTTATCATAAGTTTGATTGTCAGAGCTAGAAATATGGACATGAAATCCATTGCACTTTATTGTCTCCTTTTATATATTTATTTCCTTTTACATATGCTTTAATTTTTTCATAGTAAAGTTGTTTCAAACATACTTAATATCAGTATTATTGGGCTGGGGATTTAGCTCAGTGGCAAAAGTGCCTGCCTGGCAAGCGCAAGGTCGTGAGTTCGGTTCCCAGTACCGGAGAAAAAAAAAAAAAAAAAAAAAAAAAAATCAGTATTATTGGTGTCGAGTTTACATTGGTTGTCTAAAGTATTTGTTATTAGATGTCTTAAAGGGCCAATAAATAACACTGTATTAGACATTTACTGAGCCCAGAGTATACTCATCACAAAAAGCTGCATCACAAAAAATTTGTTTTATTGATTTCATGTTTTTTGTTTTTCTAAAGTGCTTGAAGCGCTTAACATGGAAAAAATGATGGCAGCCATTTCTTGCTGGATGGAGAATCCAAGATGCTCTCTGGGATCAACAGCTGGCAGCAGTGCAGAGGAAATGCACATTTTAATCATCGAAGGTTTCCTTCTGTTTAATTATAAGTAAGCATCCCCACTGTAACACTGCCTCTGAATGAATGGGAAGAAGCTATGTAAACTAAATATGCTCTTACCTTAGGCCCCTTGATACTATATGGAATAGAAGCTATTTCCTAACCATCCCATATGAAGAGTGTAAGAGGAGAAGGAGGTAAGTTTGGAAATCATCTTTATGGATTGTAATTTCAACAGACAAAATGTACTGAAATGGAGAGAGCAGCATTATCAGACAGTTGGTCAGTTTTCAAACAGGGAAGCCTTGACTCCTATGCAGAGCAAATGGCCGTCCACATGGAGTGGTGCACATTACTCCTCTAAGAGAAAGGTTTTCTATGCACCTGTTGACTCATTTCCCCTAAATCTTCAGGTGAAGCAATCCTTTGTAGATTGTAATTTCAAGTTAGTGCACCTATCTTCTATACAGCTACAAATAACCCCAGTTAGTTTGGAGCTTAATGCAACATTATCGACACTGAGTCTTATGGGAAGAAAGATAATTATGAATGATAGTGGACTACAAAATTAATTTCTGTGTTGGAGAACTAAATCCATTTTACTGTCTTTCTATTTCCTCCTTGTATTTTAGTATTTTGTTTGTTTGTTTTCCGGTACCGGGAACTGATCTCACGACCTTGCACTTGCCAAGCAGGCAAGTCTTTCTAAACTGCCGTAGAATCTAACACTGCCATGAGTATTAATCCTGTTCACATTTAATCTTTGATTTTCCTATTATCCTGAGCATTATTATTTTGCTTTATAAATTTTGTATTTCTAGCAACATGAATTTTCCTTGGTGTTTTGACAGTACGAGGGTCTATGAGCCCCCAGACCCACCTGGGTATTTTGACGGGCACGTGTGGCCCATGTACTTAAAGCACAGACGAGAGATGGACAACATCACCTGGGAGGTTGGTAAGTGCCTCTCCTCCCATCATGTAAGGCCTTTTACTTGTCACTTGTCTCTAAGTACATAAACCAAAGGACTTGGGAACCAATTTTCTCAAGTAGAAGATTGTAAAGGGTTATTCTAAGCAATAGTCTCTGGGTTCCCCTCTTCTACCACAGGTTCTGTAGGTTTTTATTTCTCCAAAACTGCTTTGTCTGTTTTATTAAAAAATATGTAATTTCTGGGTATGGAGAATTCTTATTCACTACATATGTGACAGGGTTCAGCCCAGTGCATGGTTTAAAAAGCTTCACAAACCAGGTATGGTAATACACACCCATAATCCCAGCACTCGGGAAGTTGAAACAGGAGGATCACTGCAAGTTTGAGTTTAAGACTAGCCTGGACTACATAGTGAGTTCAAGGCCTGCCTGAACTACATAGTAGGACCCTGTCTCAACAAACAAACAAAAAAGAAGCCTCACAAAGCTGGATGCATAAATTGGGAGAATTACTCTTTAAGTGACTCTTTTGGGTAGGTGACTCTTCACTCCTCCTAAAGCTCTTTATACATGGTACTGTTTAAATTTCTTCCTTTCTTTCCTTTCTCAGTTATTTAAATAATTTTCAGAGCAGCTGATGTGGATTTCTTTGTAACAAACCAAATTTTTGACCTATATTTGTGGCTGCCATGTTTTTTATCTTTTTTTTTTTTTCTAAAGAGAAAAGAACAAAAGCAAAATAACAAAAAGATAAAAACAAAATAACACAAAAACTATGAAAATGATACAGAATTTCAAAACAAGATGATAAGAACTCAACAACGGTTGTTGTATTACTTATCGTTATCTTCAGAGTAGTTGCTCAGATTACCAGATACAGGTATGCAAGATTGACCAAACAATTACGCATTATCTGTTCCTTTCAATAAACCAATACAATTATCTTAGCTATTTTGTGTGTTTATTTATTTATATATATATATATATATAAAAATTTCCCTTCCTTCTTTTCTTGTTTCCCTAATCCCAGTTGTTCTTTCCTATTAAGCAGTTTCTTTCCCTTTCACAATATCTATTGTACCTTTGAGTTTTATTTACGCTTTCAGGTTCTTACACTAGGGAGACAATACAGTGTTTACACATGCAGGTCTGATTTATTTTGCTTATGAGTATGGTCTCTAGTTGCATCTATTTACCCATAAAAGCTTTGAGTTTATCTTTCTGTATAGCTGAGTAATATTCCATTGTATAAAAGTACATTTTTTTATCTTTAATTGCTATTAATCTCTTTAAATTGTGGTTCTAGGTCCTTTTGGTTAAACCTATTGGAATTTGCAAGAGATACCAAGTGCCAGAGTAAGCATCTTTTATTACTACTCTTTTCTTCCTTCTACAGTGTACCTGGATGGAACCAAATCAGAAGAGGACCTCTTTTCAGAAGTGTATGAAGATCTTACAAAAGAGCTAGCCAACCACAGCCCAAGTACGGCCCTAGCAAAGTGGATGGTGAAGGATGGACAGCCAGGAAAATAATTCATCGTATATGCCAGAATGGTACACTGAGGGATTATATTCACTCACTGTTTGCTTTGAGGATAATTCAGAGGCAGAAATTCAGTGCGGCTGTGAAGATGTGATTATTTTGTCAGGTTGTTTTTAGGGGTGAAAATACTTATCCTTTGTTATCTCTCTCTCTCTGTCTCACTCTCTTTCTCTCTCTCTGTTTCATCTCTTAATGATATTTATGTTATGTAGTTTCAAATTTTGGTAGATGACTGTCCCAATGAGACTGATATTATCCTATTGGCAGAGTGAAATTGAAATGCTGATGATTTTAATATTTCTAGAGCTCCCCTTTTCCTTTATTCCCTTAAATGTTTTCCTTAAAGTTCATATTTTGCAAATACCTCAGAAGTAAGTGCAAGATTTAAAAAGATTACTTCTACTTCTTTAAAGTTGACAGGTTTTTTTGCAAGAGATGGGACATCCTCCTACATTCAGCCTAAGTAAAAAAGTACAGAGGTGGCAGTGTTTTGGGGCCTGGCTGGATTAAGGAGCTCAGATGGTATCCTCAGTGCTCTGCATTCTGTTGGAGTTTATTTTGAAGTAAGGTTCTCTCTGCTGACAGACAGGATAATCTCTTCTCAGCATCCTCATAGGCCCTGCAGCCCAGTGTGAAAAGATAGTTTATCCTTTTTCAGATTGCCTATGAGTGAATAAATGTTGGAATTGGCTATAGAAGACAAGAAGGTTCCTAAGTCATTCTCACCACTATTGCATATGTATAAAATTATTTTTAAAGAATTTTCTTGGCTTTTTTGTAGTGTAGGGGTTGAACCCTACCCCTTTTTGCATGCTAAGCATATGCCCTAGCACTGAGCAATACTCCTAGCCTTAAACAGTTCCTTAAGAAGCAATTTTCCATTTGGCTCAGCTGAAAAGGCCCAGAGAAGACTTTGCTTGGTTCTGCTTGGGTTGCATGACTTGCTAGACCAGTCCCTGTGGCCAGGACGTGGCATACTCTAATTGGTCATCACTGGCTTATAGTTCCCATCCTGTAAGTAAATACCCCACCTAAAACCTGATTTTTAAAATTTCCCAAGGGGAAGGCAAGGTAGATGGATGGTAGAAACCAAAAGAAGAAAAATGAAAAAGCATTTTGGAAGATCTTGTTACTGATGTATTTGAACTACATGAATTAAAGGGCTAAACAGCCAATGAAGTTCTTAGGTGACCGAAGAAAAGACAGTCTGAGTCATCCCAGATTGAAGACTATTACATGGTTTTGGTGAGAAGCAATTGCACTAGTCCAGTTATTATCATCTCTCAAAAGAATTAGGTTTCTTGTATGGTCAATAAATTTCTCCCTAACCTGGGGAACTGGGCCCAGCAGGGCAGCCCATTGACCCTGAACACTCCTGATTTAAAATCAGTCATTCTAGTAGGCATTGGAGAAATATTGGAACCATTTTAAAATTTCTTCTTGCAAGGAGAACCAATAATCCATGGCAGATATGCCCATCCGCCCTTGTCATTTCTTACTTTGGTGGAAGACTGGTCTCCCATGATGAACCTTGGGATACAAACTGAAATAGATACGAATTGTGTGGCAGTCGAGCAAGGGGCTGAGCCTTCATAAATTGCTGCCCCTGAGCCAGAGACCTTGTCTGAGAACTATCAGCGCCCCAGGAACAGCTTGCTGGCATGTTTCAGCTGCTAGCCTCCTGTGCTATGTCCTGGGCAGTGGCCAGTGCTTCGTTCCAGTTCTCCTTTAATGGCCAAGTCATACACTGGGATTTGCTTTATCCTGTGCCTATGGATAAGGATGAAAGGAGCCCTGGTTATGTAGCTCAGGTAATTGCACCCTGTTCCATTCCAAACCCTGCCTTCACCATCTATCTGTTCCAAGGCCCAGAACAGCTGGTGTGTCCTATGGTGCTTCAAGCCCATAAGAAAGTACATTTTCATGTATATGACTTATCTCTTACTTTGCCTGTATCCAAGAGGCAGGTAAGAAAATATTTAGCGATGCAGCTTAAGGCTGTCAGGTCTGTGTTCTAGAATCTAGGTAAAAGGTAAAGACAAGAAAGAAAAAATGAGACACTAGAAGAGATGTGACTCTGGAAGCAAATCAGCTTTTCCTGCGTCTTAAGATTTATGGTAGTTTCTCTGTTGCATAAATAAGTAACCATGCTATTTATAGTAACCCAGCACCTTTCCTAGGTCTGCCAGCCACAGCATGCAAGCAGAGCTGGCAGGGAGCGGCCCTCAGTCTAACCTGGTTTGACCCTGACTCTGGGACTGAGGTAGCTGAGGTGACCTTTCCAAGGTTTCAAGTGATGACTCCAGGTTTTCCCTCCTGGCATCTCTTAAACCTATTCCACTGATTCTTCATTCTATGTCTATAAAATCATAATTATGATAAAGTAGTAATGGTAAAGAGAAGCAAGACATATTGATTTCATTATTAATGAAATGAGCAAAAGGCTATGAAGTAACACATTTAAATCAGTCCTCATTTTAATTTAAAGTTTAAAGTGAAATTTAATCACTGTGTATTCTCAATATAACAAAGCAGTCAAGGTACCAGGAACATTCAAACTCACTTTAAAAATGTTTATTTTCATCTCATTATAAAAAATACTAATTATAAAAATGTATGTAAAAGCAAAAGGAGAAAAGAGCCATCTGTATTCTACTAGCTTCATTTTAAGCAGTTTAATGAGTGAGCTTCCAGGGTTTAAGCTGTCACATTAGTCTCTTGCAAGACATTGCAGGGACAGTGATTAATCAGCCAGGAGTACTTCTGTTTTTACATAAGGGTTTAGTATTTGCATTGCTTTATAGAGTTTATTATATAATAATCCTGAAGTGTGATCCCAATTAGAAGATTCAAGGCTGAGTTCTGTTTTGTGCACTGAAGTGAAATCTAAGACTTGTCATTGACATTTTAGTGCAGAAGAAAGATGTGATATGTCTAGTACCAAATCAAAGAACAAAGAATTCCCAAATAAGAATTTAATTATCAAATGCTTGCATTTTTCTGTTGAGATTTTCCTACATTTCATTTAAAATATACTTTCTAGTTATCAAATAATAGTAGTGATTAAATATCTAGTTTATTTATTTATTTATTTATTTTTGGTTTTTCTCCAGTACCGGGAACCGAACTCACGACCTTGCGCTTGCCAGGCAGGCGCTTTTGCCGCTGAGCTAAATCCCCAGCCCTAAATATCTAATATAATATTTTTGGTTTTTCTCCAGTACCGGGAACTGAACTCACGACCTTGCGCTTGCCAGGCAGGCGCTTTTGCCGCTGAGCTAAATCCCCAGCCCTAAATATCTAATATAATAATATAAATTCACATAGCATTATTTACCCATTACCCAATTGTTAGATATTTAGTGTTACAGGTATTTTACATTGATAAATAACTTTCTTTTTCTTTTTCTTTTTTTTTTTTTTGAGACAAGTTCTCTTCATATAGTTCAGGCTGGCCTTGAACTCACTATGTAGCCCAGGGTGGCTTAAACTCATAGTGATCCTCCTGCCTCAGCCTCCCAAGTGTTGGGATTACAAGCATGCCCCACCATACCTGGTGATAAATAACTTTCTATAAAAATATATGTAGAAGGGCCAGGAATATAGCTCAGCGGCAGAGCACCTGCTTGGTAAGTGCAAGGTCTAGAGCTCGATTCTCGGTACAAAAAAAAGATAAAAATTATATATATATATAATTTGGTTTTCTTATTTTGGATTATATCCCTGGTCTAAATTCTCAGAAGTGGCAATTACTTAGTCAAAGAATGAAATAAATTTTACACACTTTGAAATACCGCACTAAAAACAGTCTCCAACATGAACTATACAGTAAGAATATGAATGGTTTGTCATTGAATTCTAAACCAAATTGTGTATTCTGCTAGGCTGCTTTTATTTAAGCAAGCAGGTTAAAGGTAACGATGCTCTTTTGCCCACATCAAGGATAATATACCAGACCAAGAATTATACTGCACCCAGCCACCCTTTGTAATATTCTTCTAGTCCCCAAACAATTTCTTTCCATGAAGTCAAGATCATTATACCAGTGGAACTGATATGGGCTATCTGATTATTTGAGATATGCTTCACATTTAATACAATAATTAAAAAATGAGACTTGGGCTTCAGTTGGGAAAAGCAGCATTTGTGGCTCCAGAATCCTTGTGATCTTTACATTCTTCTTTTCTTTTTTTTGGTACCAAAACTCCGGGATTGATCTTTACATTCTTTGATTGACTTCTGTTGGTGTACAAATGTAATAAAATGAGAATTAATTCTCCACTAATGTATTTTTCCATTTGTTCCCAAGCTTTGCAAGTAACACCATAAAAAAAGGAATGCAATGAATCCATCCTGGGATGAATTAGGAAACTCAAAGGAATAGATTTCAGAGCATTAATCAAGATACAGTATGAACTGTGATATAACAGCTATTTTGTATGTTAATTGTTTAATCACATAAAGTTTTCTAAAGGCTGTGAAGTAACATAATTAATACAGTCTGTGTGGAACAGTAATCATTCATACCAATTCACAGGAATCTACCTAATTGTTCTTACTCCAGAGAAGGCAAATATACAGCACAGCTCATGAACAGTGAGTCAGTTCCTGGATAACAACGCCTGTTGAACTTTTCTGACTGATCCTAGAGTGAGAAATAAGGATTAAACCATAACCCAGGATATTTGTAATTCACTGTGTGTTTGTGTATGTGTGTGTAGTTGTATATGTAGATGTGTATACAGTGGGCCCTTGACTTACAAACTCAGTTCCTTTGTGAGGATTGGTTGTAACTCAAGTTAGTTATAAGTCAAGACTTTTTCCCATAAGAAGCAATGGAAATACCCATAATGCATCCCAAACCTTCCAAAGCACCCCTTAGCTAACCTTTTCATTATAAAAAAGGGTTGTGTAATTGCGTAATTTGCCAGAAACACCAATAATTTTCCTAGCATGTTCACCAAAAAGTTGTAAAATGTGCCTAGTTTACCAGAAACAACAATTTCATACTGTACTCTCCATTCAAGTTGACATCTTTGGCTTGCAGGAGGGGAGGTTGGAATGGAAGGTGGTTATTGTTTGGAAGGAGAGTCCCCTTCCATGAGAACATCAGGAATCTGGGTCTCTAGTGTTCTTTCTCTCCTTGGGAGAGTCTCTAGCCCATTAGTATCTGCTTATGTATGGCTCACTAGGTCTCAACCTTTTCAAAACTAAAAACTGGCCTAAACTTGTCTGTTTCTGTCTTTCTTCAACACTGTTCTGTAGTATGACATGGCACTGTCATTAAGCAAGTGATTACAGTGATTGGCTTTTTCTCTGTCTTGGTGGATCTTCTCTACAAATGTTTTGACTCTATCCATTTTCTCAGTATTTCCTTCATCTCAGAAGAACAGTTTTGCTGCACTGACTTTAGTACTCCCTCTCTTCTTCAGAAAGCTCCTCAGCTGCCATTTTCTGTTGCTCAGCCAGAAGTTGCTGAACATCCTCCGTAGACAATTCCTCTGAGTTTCTTCCACCAGTTCTTCAACATCACCACTGTCTACCTGCAAGCCTATGGCCTCTGATACAGGACAGTGTCTTCAACCACAGGATTAACTGAAGGGTCAGGCTTCTCTACACAACCTCTGTCCTGTATAATTTTAAGCCATACTTTCTTCCAGGCAGATCTCACTGTTCTGAGAGAAACATTGGTCCAGGATTTCTCAGTTAACCCCACACAGGAAAGGATGTTGTAATGTTCTTTCTGGAACTCTTTAAGTATTAAATATGTATCTGAGACCATCTGGAAGCACTTCAGGAAATGTTCCTTGGCATATAGCTTCTTCAAGTTTGTTAGCACCTGCTGATCTGTAGGCTGCAATAGTGGAGTTGTATTAGGTAAAAAGAATTTGACTGAGAGCCGTGGGAATTCTTCAGCCAGTTCTTCCAAATCTTGTGGATGAGCAGGAGCATTGTCTGTGATGAGGGGAGCCTTCAATGGTAAACCTTTGTCTTCTAGCTATTCCTTAACGGTAGGACAGAAAGCCTCCCTGATCCACTCAGGAAAAAGTACCCTTGGTACTCAGGCTTTTGCATTAAGATCTCCACATAATCCCTAGGCTATTCTTCTTGACTTCATGTTTTCTGAACACTCTAAGGGTCTCAGAGTGATAAACTAAGAGAGGCTTTATCTTGAGGTCACCACTTGCATTGGCACATAGCAATAAGGTTAGCCTTTCCTTCAGAGGTTTGTGGCCTGCATTTCTTTCCTTGCTGGATAATACATGTTCTGTGCATTTTCTTCAGGAAAAGGATAATTTCACCACAGTTGAAAATGTGATGAGGGCAAAAGCCATTTCTCTGTGCCATCATTTTCAAGTGGTGTGTGTAATTTGCAGCAGCCCTTTTGTCAACACTGGCCACTTGGGCTGTTTTATGGGATCTGCATTTTATAGCCCTAGCTTTTTCACAAATTATAGACTCAGGCTGTAACCTGCTATCTGCCTTCTGTTTATCCACACTCATAACCTTTCTACCTCATCTAACACTGTTGATCATGGCTTACTAATTTGAGTAACACCTTCAGCAACACTAGTTTCCTTCAGCAACACTAGTTTCCTTATACACATCTTTGCTCTGTGAAATTGTCCAGATGGTGGATTTCAACATGCACATATTAGTGAGATTGGTGACACAAACACTACTCTTATATTTCTCCACAATTTCCTTATTTTTGATAGTGATTGCTTTCTTTACCTTCCCTTCGTTCCTTAGCTTTGTTTTGAGCTTTTGTGGGGGCATTTTGATAGCAGCAATTGTAGCGATTTTATATTATATAAAATCATGTCCACAAGCACATGCCCCTGGGGTCAGACTGGCACGTATGCTTACATACACTTTTCTGGCATCGCAAGTCTTTGCATCTGTACAAGTGGCCAGCATTCAGGTTGCAACTCAAGACTGTGGTTTTAAGTTAAACCTAAAATTCCAGTCATAGCCCGAGTTGTTCATATGTGAGGCTAGTCATCACCTGAGAGTCCATTGTATATGTGTGGGTGGATATACACATATTAAGTACTACAAGACATTATATATTATACACTGTGAGTTTTTCTATTTTTAGTTGCTTGAATATTGATTATACCCATGGTTTGGAAAAGGCTGCTGCTTACCATTCCAAAACAGTGTCCACCACCTGCAGACAGTGGCACTATCATGTTGATTAAACCTGCAGCTCACTACAGTACCTCAAGCATTTGTGTGTTTTGTTGTCTGCTTTTTCCTATGTGTCTAATACCATTGTATATTTATGGTACAACTTTGATAAATAGAGGGTTTTCCTGTGTCTTACTTCATTTTTGCCAAAGTAATGGTCTAACATCACAAAAAAAAGCAGATAACTGCAATCATGTGTAATAATGAGGGGACTTTCTTTACACAGACAGTAGACCAAAATAGTGTGATTTCTGCTTCCCTCTTTCAGTGCCAAAACTTAAATTATATACCGTGTATCCTTTTGTTTATTAGTAATGAGCAGTAGTTATAAAATATTTTTTATCAGTAGTTATAAAATATTTTTCTCATTGACCAATTCAGTTAGCTTTCATTATTTCTTTATCTCTAACTAGCTTGTACTTAGTGATGACTTGGGGGGTTCTTTGGGTTCCACACACTATAGAAGAATACAGAGTGATATCTTGGCAATAGCTATTCTTCCTGGAATGAGGTGAAATCTCAGTGTTGTTTTGATTTGCACCTTTTGAGTGACCACTGATGTTGAATATTTTT